GAATATGTTTTCTACCAGAGGAGAAACAGAATGTATGAGCTCCAGTTAAAGAATGCTATGGAACTCAACAGGAAACGTAAGAGACTAGGCGGACATTAGATTTTTACTACTAGTAAAATGGGTTTCTTCAGTAGTATTGGAAACTTCTTCAGAAGAGTTGGAAGAGGTATATGGAATGGAATAAAATCTGTCGGAAGAGGAATTTGGAACGGAGTCAAAAATATTGGTAAAAGAGTAGGTCGGTTTGTTGGTATTATACCTAAAGACCCTCAACCAGAAGAACAAGCTCCTGTTATACAACAGCCTGAACCTGCACCACAGTCTAGTTGGCAACCAAATCCAACACCTCAACCGTATTAAAAAGTTATATTTTTATCGTTCGATAGTAGTTGTATATGAAACTAAGTTCTAAGTAAAACGCATGGTATAATGGAATTATTCTTTTTCTTCCATCTGTAGTAAACCATACTTGAAAGTCTGAAATACTTCCACTTGGTGGTTCGTATAACTTTGTAGGTTTTTCGTAAAAGTCATTTGCCAAGCATAAGAAAGAGTTTTGGGCGCCAGAAAATGAAGCATGAACTATCACAGCATCTTGGTCGAAAACATCTTTAAATAAATATGGTTCATCTCTTGCATATCGACTGTAGATATTTGCTAAAGGAGGTTCAACTTTCTGATTTAACATTCTTTGCAAATAATACCATGACATTGCAGTGAATTCTGTATATATTTGTTCGTCTTTATTTGGATTGTCTTCGTAGATTTGAAATGACACTTGTGAATTTTGTTTGTCATATACAATTCTCACATAAAGTGTGCTATTGGTATTCGCATATTCATCAGCATATTTTGCATAACATGAATTTATTTTATCTTCTATATTTTTTAATGCAGCCTGTAGAGAAGATGAGAGGTCAACTTGTATTAGCTCAATTTCTTCCCACATTTTTCGTTGCCCTTCAGATGTATAATCTATATGAAACCTTACAATAAATGGAAAACTTTTATCTTCTACAGACACAAACTTTATTCTTCGAAAGCCAATAGCTTTTGTGACAGATGGGTCTCTTAACCATCTTAATGGGTAGTCAAAACGATAGCCTTCATGCTTTACGGTATCTGTCTCAAACTTTTGACCGACATTAGTAAAAAGTTCATCTAATGGTTTAGTTGTAGCAACTCTAGAATTTTCTTTTTCTATTGGAAGCATATTTTATCTATAATAAAAATGTCAAATGAAACAGCGTCTATGAGAGAAATACAACACAACCGACAACTCATTATGCAAGCTCTAAATAAGAACACAACAAACTTTTCAAACTATTCTAAGATATCTGAGTCATTGAAAGAAGGAAACTTAAAACTGACATTAAACCCTTTAACAGATGAGTTTCTATTTCAAGACAAGAAGAACAATACTGTCTGTATAAATCCAACAAAAGGAACTTTAAACGAGAAACCTATAAATGAACTTCTTTTGAAAGCAGATGTTGACAACAAAGCTGACAAAGAATATGTAGACGATGAAATAGCAAAAGAAGAAGAAAGAGCTAACAATGCTTATGCAACAAAAGAACATACTCATCCTGAACTAGCAGACAAAACATATGTTGACAATAAAATGTCAAGTGAAGTGACAAGAGCTGAAAACGAATATTCTAAAAAGACTCATACACATTATATTAACCAAATACCAAGTCTTAAGGAAACATTAGAGACAAAAGCAGATAAGACTCATACACATTCTATATCTGATATTACAAACTTACAAGAAACCTTAAACAGGAAAAGTGCCGTTGGACATACACATACCATTGCAAATATTACAAACTTACAAGAAACCTTAAACAGGAAAAGTGCCGTTGGACATACACATACCATTGCAAATATTACAAACTTACAAGAAACCTTAAACAGGAAAAGTGCCGTTGGACATACACATACCATTGCAAATATTACAAACTTGCAAGAAACCTTAAACAGGAAAAGTGCCGTTGGACATACACATACCATTGCAAATATTACAAACTTGCAAGAAACCTTAAACAGGAAAAGTGCCGTTGGACATACACATACCATTGCAAATATTACAAACTTACAAGAAACCTTAAACAGGAAAAGTGACGTTGGACATACACATTCTATATCTGAAATAACAGACTTAAACGTTAGCCTTGAAAAGAAAGCAGATAAGACTCATACACATACAAGTTTTACAACTTTTACAGCAGATGATATTACACTAAACACAACCTTGCCAAGTAAAGGTCCAACAATACCACCGGCAACAAGTCTTGTAGATACTTTGATATCTAATGACAATAGTATTATGCATCTAAGACAGGAACTCAATGTGCTTAAACAAATTTTGCCGAATCTTATTTACCCGGTTGGCTCATTATATGTTTCAATGAATTCTACCAGACCAGAAGTAGTACTTGGTTTTGGAACTTGGACTCAAATAGTCGACAGGTTTTTGTATTGTGCAAACTCTTCAAAGGAAACAGGTGGAAGTAAAACGATTTCAGGTGCAAATTTACCTGCACACAGTCACTACATAGATTTAAGTACATCTCAAGCAGGTTGGCATAGTCATAGATATATTGGTTGGTCAGGAATGACAAAAGGTAAAGGATATGATGTTAAAGACGACGTTAAGTTTGCTATAAATGGTTACTGGAGTGACACTCAGGGAGATGGAAACCATACACATTTCGTTTCAGGATATACACAAACAACGGGACAAAGTAAAGACTACATGCCACCTTACATGACAGTTTACGCATGGTATAGAAATGCTTAGTCGTCATTTTCAACTTCTTTAGCATATTCGTCAGGAGTTGTCTTATATTTGTTAGGAACTGTCTTTGAAAGTATACCACCTTGAACTTTGACAAGTTTGAAACGAGGTCTGGCAATAGTAGTTTTATCTTCTGCTTGCAGTGTGTACATTTTGCCATGTTTGCCTAAAACTTCATAATATTCTCTTGTATACTTTCTTCTATTTTTACGAACACGAATGTGAGTACCTGTCGGGTTCCCATTGTTGTCATAGTCAATAGTATTTTCATATGGGTCGCGTTTAGGTATTTCTATTTTTACTTTGTCACCTTTCTGAAGTTTGAAGCCCGGCATTCTTTCTTGTTTGTCTCTTTTGACTAAATTATTAAATATATAGTCTTTCTCTAAGTCAGGGTTGTTTTTCATTTCTTCGGGGGAGTGGTTTCCCAAACCTTTTTGTTTACAGTTATTGTAAATATTTAAAACTTGTCTCATCTTTGCCATGGAGAAGTGTCTATATTTGTCGTCATATGACATTTCATTTGCTTCAACACCTTGTGGTTGGTTTAAGTCTCTTAACATTTTTATACAACCGTCAATGACACCAAGAGCAGAATGGTTTTGGTCGACAATGAAATATTGGTTTACATTTTTTGAACGCAGATAGTTTTTTACATCATCTGATTTGAAAGAACTTTCACAGTCAGATGTCAGTTTTGTTGGATGGTATTTGTCAACGAATATTGTCAAAGCAGTTTTTACATCTAAAATATTTTTGGACCATAATGGTATGGCTTCACAGTATCTTGTGTTTTGACCAACAAATATTAACCAGTATGGAGGTCCATCTGTTCTAACTCTCGGAATGTTTTCCAAGATATCCATAAACCAAGCATTTGGTGTTGAACTAAAGATTTTTATCATGAGTGCTTTCTTTGTCGCTTTAGAAACATAGGGGTCCTTGTTCGGATTCGTCATTTTTACCCTATAAGAAATGGGTTTATTTGGCGCATTAGCAGGAGTTGCATCCAGATTTTTGCCCGCAGTGGGAACAATAGCCAGAGGTGCATTTGGAATTGGAAAGAAGATTTTGAGTACATTAGGTATACTTAAAGAGAAAGCACAACCTATTATACAAACTGTACAGAAAGGTTGGGATGTAGCACGAGATGCAACAAATCTTATTCCAAATCCTGAAACAAGAGGAAAAGTTCAAGGATGGATGGACAATGTAGGAAGACAAGCAGGAAACTATTATAACAAAGCAAATGACTACTATAACCAAGCAGGACACTATATGGACCAAGGTGAAAGATTCTTTAACAGAGGATATAACCATGCACAACAGTGGGTAAACAATAACCAACCTCAACCGCCTCAAACGTGGGGAATGTAAATTTTTTTACTGAGATGAAATGAACAATGCAGCATTGAGACAAATAAGTTCAAGATGGATTTGTCGGCTTCCAGTAGTTACACCACGTGTTTGTAAAGTTCTTCCTATACCTCAGGAAGTTTTAGACCGACTTAAAAAACCTAAACAACCAGTTGAAAACAAACCAAACTAAAATTTTTTACTGAGATGAAATGACCGAAGAAGTTGAAACGGTAGATTTGACACCACAAACAAAAAGTTCAGAACCATTGTCAAAACCTGTCAAAGAACTTACAGATGAAGAGAAAAATTCAATAATAGAAAGTGCCAGGTCTGGAAATACAAACCCTAACTATAAAGTCACTTTTCATAGAAATGGAACGGCTAGTATCTCAAAAAGAAACAGACTCTCACAAATAAAATATTGAAGTCTGAAGGAGCTTTCGAGACAACAGATGGAAAAGTTTACTTCACTGACCAACAGTTCATTATAGAACATCTCATTGACTTAGAGTCGAAATATTCTAAACTTTACAACAAACACAAAAAGTTGAAAGGAAAACAGAAACAGATGGCATATGACATTTATGAAGATGTTGACGACACAACTATTCCAGCAAGTGAGGTAAAGTCAGAGAAACCGAAAAGTGACGAAAAACCAATAGAAGAAGGGAAGCCAAAAACTGAAGATAAACCAAAACCAAAGTTTAGTTTGGAAACTAAACCAAGTCAACCTTCATTAGCTGGTATGGGTTGGCGTCAAAGACTTATGGCAGCAGGTGGTTATGTAAAGTAAAGAAAAAAACATTTTTTTATTTTTATAAAAATGCCCCCGTATAGAATGGATAGAAGGTCTGCTAGAATAAAAGCAGAGTTAGAAAGATATGGTTGGAAAGTTTCGAAGAAGTTTAAATATAGGAAGGGAAGACCCATAAAAGTCTATGACAAATTGTCTGGTCTTCGCTACGAAATGGATTTGGAAACAGCACGTGCCAATTATCCAAACAGACTAGAGAGGTTAGAAGAAGAACGTCTTATGGACATGCCTTTCGATGTTAGTGAACCTCAAGTTGAAGGACACGACGGCTTTGCCAGATTCTACTGGAAACATGACGAACAATTGCATCCTTTGAGAAGGAAAAAAGGAAAAGGTGAAGACGCACATGCTCCCATGGAAAGAACAAGATATGCATATGAAAAGTATCGTGAAGTTAGAAGTCAAATTACATCTGGTCGAACCTTTACAGTAAACTTTGACGAAGGAAAGAACAAAGAAGGCTTCATGGGTGTACTTGCTGCCATACAAGACGGAAATAAGAAAGGACACAATCTCAGATTGACCATAACAGATTTGGATGGTCACATTTACTATGCACATGGCAATGAACAAACAGCCGCAAAACTTCTTGACGCTTTCAAGACTACAAAGAGAGAACAAATGGTTGACTCCGACTCAGACATTTTTAATGCAATTGAAGGAATTGCAAGTGTCAAGTTCGAATGGTACCAACCTAACCCTCAAGCAGTCAGACAACATGCTGGATACTTCCCCTTCATAAATAAGTCTGACATTGACTTGACAAGGTATGGAATTTACAATTCAATTGAAACAATTGTCAATGAACCTTGCATTCTTACATGTCTCAGGAACTCTGGTCTTGTTACAGATGAGAAGATGAAGTATCTTGAGTCATGTGTGAAGACAAGGTACATTCTCAGAGGTCAATTGGCAAAAATTGCACCGTTGGCAAATGTCAATATCCGAGTCAACATACCTACAGCTAAAGGTTCTTCACATGACGACTATGTTGTTGACAAAGACTTACCATGGTTGAAGATTGTAATTGTCTACAACCACTTCATGTTGAACGAAAGTCTTACAAACCCATTCTTTGGTAAAAGTAAGTGCAACATTGTCAGAGCTGTAAACATTCTTTTCGAGAAAGGTTTGTTGGAACCAATTCCAGATGACAAGCTGACAGAAACTTTTGTACCAAAGACGAAACAAACTTTTCATTGTTAGCAAGACCAAAAGTTGTTCCAGACAAAGTTCTAGTACAAAAGAAGTACACAGTTCCACAAGGGGTTGGTATGTTCGGATACCAACCTGAACCAGAAGAACTTCCAATGAGGTTGCAAGAACTTCAAGATGCTATAAACAAACTTCCATTGAGACATCCAATTGACGTCAAATTGTATTGGAGAGCATCTGAGTTAGGTCAGAAAATTTTATATGAAACAGGTTGCTTCGACGATGTTTATGAGATAACAGGAGAAGTTTTCTAGAAGATAAGAGACTCGCTTGAATTTCCACAAACTGGACCAATTGGTTGCGACAAGTTCGACTCAGATGAAAAGATATACTATGTCGACCTTAACGCTGCATACATGAGGTTTGTCCAATATATTCCGACTGGAATTCCAAACGAAGATGGTGAGTTCCCGGGAAGGAACTATACAGTTGGAAAAGTCATACAACAACTGTATGATATTAGGAAAGCTTCAAACCCCAAACTTGCAATGACACTCAAATTGCTTATGAATTCGACATGGGGATATTCCATTAAGAAACCTCAAGAGATGAAGAGTAAACATTATGAGAAGGTCGACAACTTTGTTGAAAGGTTTTCTCCTTTTGTTTTGAAGTACGAATTCACTCAAGGTCAAAGTGGCTTAGTAACCACATTAAAACCTATTGTCGAACATTGGTCTTACCCTCAGTTCGCAAAGGCAGTCCTTGACAACTACAACAAATTCTTCTCCGAAGTCAAATCCAAAGTGAAGGTTTACTATGAGAACATTGACGCACTCATGACGAACGAAGAAGGATACAACAAACTCATTGAAATGGGAATGGTCGGTGAAAAGATGGGCTGTTTTAAGCTAGATAAGGTATTTTCCGAAGTTCATGTAATATCGAAAAGGAAATATTGGGGCATACTTGAAGACGGCACAGAAATAAAACATTGCATGAAATAAAAATTTATTTTTTAAAAAGTGACATTTTTTTATTTTATTTGAAATGTACGCTGAGTTTGTTGGAGAAGACCGTTGGGAAACTTGTTTGTTAGATGAGAAATATGAAATGGCATACCATTTTAAAACAATATATTTTTACATATATTAAATGCTTCAGGTTGAAAAACAAAGAACAAAAGTAGCAGATACAAAACCGTTAGACTATATCTTTACAAATGCTGGTAGGACTATTTCAGATGAAGAAATTTCATCCCGAGCATACAGGTTTGACTATCCAATTCGTTGGCTTCAAAGTCCTTCAGATGCAAAGGCAATAGGATTTAGAAGAGTTTTGTTTTCAAATAGAACTAACGCATTTATGTTCGCAGTATATTTTCATGGGCAGTATGAAGGTTCTGATGGTCTAATAGACAAATTTGACGAAATGAGAATCTTTACAGTTCGTTCAGACGAAAGTCTTGAGAAAACTCTAAATGACTTTCAAACTCAAATGAACAAATATTATTGGGAATTTCAAAAAAAATACGACTCTTTACTAAATGGAACATACTATCTGAAACTAGAATATGACAAGATGAACTCCACCGTTTCATTTCAAAAGATTGAAATTAACCCTCCAAGAGATACAGAGTTTTTATTTTGGGAAGTAGACAAACGTTCTTGGGCACAATTTCTTCGGTTACTAAACCAGAACGAACCATTACCACCAGATGGTCCATTTAAATTTATACTTCCACCAGCAGATTTGATGGTTTATAGAAACGTGTTTGACCCTCAAAATGTTATGTGTCATGCAAGTTTCAGTTCAAGCAACAATAGTTTTCTATGTATTGGTAAGGACTTTTATGACTTTGCTTCTAAATTCTACGAACCACCTAGTAACAGTTTCTCTGACTTTCAAGTTTGGTTCACAACAAATGGTGTGCAACATATTATTCCATTGTACTATGACTTTTATCTCGAATTGTCTTTCATATATAACTACGGAAAAGTGCTGAAAAAGTATTGAATGTGAAGATATTAGAAAATAACATTTTTTCTAACATCGTAGAAAACTCATGAAAACAATTTATTTTTGACACTTTCACAAAAAACATTAAAAAGTGAGTTAAAATGAGATATTTACTGAACTGGGTGGATGTCGCCTTCACAGGTTATGTAGAATGGTTGACCAGAGAAGTGAAGGAGACCCTTGAGAATTTGGTTCATTCTTGGGAAAGGGTTCTCTCTGTTTGGAAGTAGTATCCAAGGACGTTTGTTTAGGAACTTAACAAGAGCTTCTCTTTTGGCGTCCTTTATGTCGTCGTAGGCTGTCCCGTCTGGTATTTGAATTGGAATTCCAGTCGAAGTCTCGAGCTGAAGTGTAGACCTTCCAGAAATAGTGGTAAACTTGACCTTGGGCTTCATGACCTTGCGCAAGTAGTCTTTTACGCAGTCGTTAAGTTCAATGAGGTAAATTGCCTCGTCAAGTCTTTCTTGCATTCCAAGTTCTTCCATCCGACAGGAAAATATTTTCCGGACAAAGGGAAAAATTTTTCCTTCCGACAGGAAGAACTCTTCCATCCGACAGGAAAAATTTTCCGGACAAAGGGAAAAATTTTTCCTTCCGACAGGAAGAACTCTTCCAGTTGTCCGTCCGTAAACCATTCAAATTTTCGAAAATTGAGAACTTTTTGGTCGAACTTTCGAAAAAATTTTCCATCCGACAGGAAAAAATTTTCCGGACAAAGGGAAAAAAATTTCCTTCCGACAGGAAAAGTTCTTCCTTCCGACAGGAAAAGTTCTTCCTTCCGACAGGAAAAGTTCTTCCTTCCGACAGGACACAAACGAATGTCCGACGTCCCACCAACCGAGTCCATTCCCAAACCAGAGGAACCTAAAGAACCACAACAGTCTCCTCAGCAACCTCAGTTCCAGCAAGTACCTCCGAATTACTACCAATTTCCACCTCAAGGTTACTACCCACCACAAGGCTTCCCGAACTACCCTCCTCAGCCTATGCTTTACTGCCCCAACCCTTGGATGTTTATGCAAAACCCTGCCCCATAATTCCAATCTCAGTCCAAGAGAGACCAAGACTTCGAAGAAGGTCTGAACCGCTTACGCAAAGAGTATGCTACAGCTCCAATTGAGAGAAAGTTGTTCCCGGACCAAAAAATATAATTTAGGTGAAGAAGTGAGATTTCACCTCTTTTTTCACCTGTTTTTTCACCCTCTTGAATTTTCATGAATTTTATATATTAATGTTTTCGCTAAGCCACTTTGTGCCGTCAGTCAGTCAGTCAGTCAGTTTAGGAAAGAATTTAGAAAGTTGTTGGAAAATAAGTCCTGGGAAGAGTATTATAAGGCATTATGTGAAGAATATAGCAACAGTCTGAATTCCGGTGGTTGCTTTTTATACAAAATTCATGCAGGAAATTCTTGAGTTTTGGTTGAAAGAATACGGTGGAGCCAAAAGTGGCTCGACCTCAAAACAAGCATTTTATGAGCTTACTAAGGGTGTTATGAATGAATTCAAATGTATTTACATACATCCTGACCTCGTTCATTTTGTTGCTGAATTCAGCAAAAATATAATTTAGGTGAAGAGGTGAGATTTCACCTCTTTTTTCACCTGTTTTTTCACCCTCATGAATTTTCATGAATTTTCCCGAAATAAAAAATAAAGTTAGTTTTATTTTTATTTATTTTTTTATTTTGTATGTAAGAACAGAAATGTCAACAATCGGCACAAAAACAATTCAAACAACAGCACCAAACTCGTTAGTCATGAATCCAACATCTATGTTAGTAGAAATGAAAAGCTTCATTCCTTCTTCATATACTTTCGAAACAGAAATCCAGAAGATAAAGCAAGAACTTTTAACAAGTAATTTAGACTGTAGTGCGAAAGATGAAACAAATGAACAGTATCTTTATGAAATGGAGGACCTCATCGACCATTTGCCTAAACTACCTGAAATTCAGCAGCAAAAACTAACTATTCCTGAATTCGACGAAATTGAAGTCAAAGCAACTGACTCAGTAGAAATAAAGAAGTTCATACGAAAGGTAAATTATGAATTCCTTGGTTTTCATTGCAACCATAAAGTTATGGACAAAGATTGCGACATGGTATATAAGAACATCTCTGACATATATAAATCTGGGGAGTTTAAGACATACGACAACTTTGTTTCATTAGCTGCAAAATGTGTATGGCAGATAAGAGATAAAGATAGAAGAGGTAAGGTATGGAATGAACAGATAAAACCAACTGCTTCAGATTTAAAGAAAACCATTGACGCCTTGGTTGTTTTAGCAGGTAAGGTTTCAGAATATAACGCAAAAATGAACCCGCAATGTTCTAAATGTAAAGCAGCAATTAGGAAATATAACTACTCCGTCAAAGAGATAGAACGTATGCGAAACGACTATGCAGACTTAAAGAAAGAAGCAGAGAAGCCGGTAGAAGATAAAATGAACATGTTAGAATTTCTGAACAAAAACTATCCAACTGCTGACGATTTCCTATTATCTGATGTCAAGAAGAAGTATAAAGAAACTTTCGGCATTGTTAAAATTTTTGATGTACTAAAAGAAGAAATTGAAGCTACGAAACTGTTTAGGATTTCAAATATACATCGTACAATTCATGTAAAACGCTTATAAAATAACTGGGGTGAAAAATTAGGTGAAAAAAGAGGTGAAATCTCACATCTTCACCTAAAATATATTTTTATTGAATTCAGCAACAAAATTCTGAGTAAAATAATTTTTAGGGTATGTGTCAAACCGTTGAGTTTTCACAAAATTTAAAAAATAACGTTTACCATGTAAAACGCTTATAAAATAACTGGGGTAGAAAAGAGGTGAAAAAAGAGGTGAAATCTCACCTCTTCACCTAAATTATATTTTTATTGAATTCAGCAACAAATTTCATGAATTTCCTTAAGATAGAAAAAATAAAGTTAGTTTTATTTTTATTTATTTTTTTATTTTGTATGTAAAGACAGTAATGTCAACAACAGAGAACACAACAACAGTTATAGTCCATGAAGCTATAAATGAAGAATATGAGTACATACAGTTTAACAAACAACTCCGTCTCATTCGTTCGGTCAAAGACGATATGTACCAAATGCAAAGTATTTTGAATGCTCTTCGTTCTACAAAGCAAGCATATCATTGGTTTGAAAACCAACAGACAAAAGAACTTTTAGAAGAATTTCCTCATATGATTGCTTCCCTCGGAAAACCGAGAGAAGAGATTCCGTACGAAAATCGCAAGAATTTGGCTCCTGGTTTGAAAGGATATTATGTTCATAGACTTTTAGTAAATGCTGTAGCAATGTGGGCTTCACCTCTTCACCTAAATTATATTTTTATTGAATTCAGCAACAAATTTCATGAATTTCCTTAAGATAGAAAAAATAAAGTTAGTTTTATTTTTATTTATTTTTTTATTTTGTATGTAAAGACAGTAATGTCAACAACAGAGAACACAACAACAGTTATAGTCCATGAAGCTATAAATGAAGAATATGAGTACATACAGTTTAACAAACAACTCCGTCTCATTCGTTCGGTCAAAGACGATATGTACCAAATGCAAAGTATTTTGACAGCATGTTATGCTCCAGATACTAAGCTTCCTAAAGACTGGTTTAGGAACCAAAGCACACAAGAACTTTTGAGCGAAGCACAGCGAGACATACTTTTTTCTGAAAACAGTGAAGAACAGCGAGTAGGTAAAAAACCCCAGTCGCCAAAACTCTATGAAAATCGTGAAAAATTGCCAAACGGTTTGAGAGGATATTATGTACATAGACTTCTTGTAAATGCTGTTGCAATGTGGGCTTCACATCGTTATGCTTGGTATATTTACAGACTTCTTGACGAAATTCATAGACAAGAACGTGAAGAGATGGAAAAGAAACTTCATGCAAAAGATGAAGTCATTGAAGCAAAAGACAAAAGCATTCAGAAAAGAATACCACGTTCGGTACCAAAAGGAAAGGAAAAGAACTATAAGTATATGATTTATACTGAAGAGATGGAAAATGAAGAAGATAAAGATATGGTTATGTTGCATTTAGTCAGAAGAAACAACAAAAGCTTTTACGACCTTGCTAAGATTTACAAATCTGACAGAAATTGGTTCTATCGCGAAAACTTACCGATTTCAATGACCCCAAATGAAGATGTGAAACAAATAGTTCAAGATACGTTACCTCAAACACACTATGATATTAAAGGTTGTACAATACTTACATTCAAAGAAGATTTGTCATTGTTAAAGGAAAAAATAACAGAGTATTTTGACAACTTCAAACAAGCAGAGTAAATGAACTCTTTATTTTTCAAGCTTGACTTTTTACAATTTGAACTTTGTTTGCGTAGATATGAATTCTGAAAGAAGTATGAGGGTCTTGTATGACTTTGTACTTCTCCCATAGTTCATGTCTGTCAAACTTACCTGCCATGGACTCTTTCATAAGTTCCATGAAATCGTCTTCGGACAATCCGGGGAAAAGTATAATGTCAGTAAGTATTCTTTTAACATCCTTACTTAAACTCTTGGCTGTCTGTACACATATTACGACTGAGATGTTAAAGTGTCTGAGCTTCTTAAGAATTCGACACATGTCTTGTTCTCTGTTCTTTAACAAAGGATGAGAAGCAAAGTCATCTAAGATAAGAAGACATCTATGAGGGTAAGTCTTCCAATCGTAAGATTGCAATTTCTTCGAAATGTATTCTATCTCTTTCTGTTTGTTTCTGAAGTGTTTCTTCTCTAATATTCTCTGCATTTCCTCATTTGGGTCTTTAAACTTAGAATTTATATACTCATTTATAGCATTATACTTCAAAACTCTTCTTTGGTACTTCTTTATCCAATCTAACAACTCAGTATCCTTTATACATACTAACTTAGACTTCTTTATAATATCTTTGAACGAATTGACGGTTTGGTCAAATTGACCAGAAGTCGAACAAATAACAACTAACTCATAGAATGGGTTCTTCTCATCTAGTTCTTGTTGTTGTGCAGCCATTTTAAGATAAGTGAAAGTCTTACCCGACCCAGGTGGTGCAATTAGACCTGTTATACCATTCTGAGCAAATAAGAACTTGTCATGTATAGGCTTTATCTGAGCATTTTCTAACTTCCTCTTGTTCTTGTTTAAAACATTCTCAAATTTCTTGTCAATGTCAGCAAACTTTTTTTCTAACATATTTTTAGAAAAATTAAAAATTTTATCTTTTAGAAAATGTCTAGCGATTTCGCTATCTATATTCGAGACAAGCTTTTCGACAGCAAAACATCTGTCGACCATAAAATCTTACATAGTGTAAACAAGAAAGGGGAATTTGTTCTAAAGTTCTGTTTCTGGGAATATGACAAGAACCATAAAACATTAAGCAGAGCAGTCTTAAAATTTGTCAATGACAGACTTGTTGACAGAGATGACACCGATTGGAAAGATGAAGTCCAATAAAAGTTCTTAGAATGCAAAGAAGACACATGCGCTGTTCTTGAAGATGAAATAGAAAACAGAATAGATGAGCTATTAAAGGACAAAGAACTTTTACATAAATATGGTTGCGCCAAATTTGACATAACTCCACCAGAAAAGAAGAAGAGAGAAAAGAAAGAAAAGAAAGTAGAAGAAGAGAAGAAAGAACCTGAACCAGTTCCAGAGAAAAAGAAATTTGACATGTAAAAATAATATTTTATTTTTAGAACATTTCTGGGTCAATGTCAATGTTCTCTTCCTCTTTAGGAGTAAACACTGGCTTAGACTCTAAAATCTTTTTACCCAATTTACCTTGAACTTCTACAACTTTAGACTCATAATATTCATAGTCGTCTGTCTTCTTTGGTTCATAAGGTATAACAAGTTTGTATGCTTTGCCTTCTTTAAGGTTTGAGAACCTTCTGTCAAAACTTTCTTTGACTGTTAACAAACCTTCTATGTCTAAGTCTTCAAATTTCGCACCATTTTTAGTCACAATAGCAAACTTAACTGGTTCGATGTTCCAAACTTTGCTGAATGAAGACTTTTCAAAATGGTAGAAGTAAACATTCAAATATGTGAATGGGTCTAGTTCTTCTTTAAGTCCTGACATGTACTTATTTACTGAGATGAATTTTGCCATCTTTTCTATCGGATAAAAATTTTTTTTTTAAATTTACTCAGAAAAATTTTTCTTTGTATATACACCATTCTGAACATCTAAAAGACTTTTGACATTTGCCAAGAATGTACGTTTAGAAGCTGCCATATAACCATATTCTTGACAATATTGTTTATATTCATCATATAAAGACTTTTCATCTAATGACACAAAGTCAGTTTCATCTATGAACAGTTCATATACACTCTTGTTTGCTTCTAACAATGTTTGTCTCTCTTCGGTATGTGGAATTTGTCTTGGATTGAACTTAGAAATATCTAATGTCATGAAATATGAGAACAAGTGGTTGTAAAAGTCAGATGTCAAAGTTTCTGCTAAGTCGTCAAAATATTCTGTATCTTGCATATGAGAATCTGACGTTCTGATAACTACATATCTTCTGTCAGAACTTTCTAACTTCATCGGAACAGCATTGTTTGAAACCATAATGAAGTTTGCAACATTTTCACAAACTCTTTGGTCTTTATACTTTCTTTCAACAACTCCAACTTTGTCTGTTATAAGACTCTTCAAAGCATCCGAGTTCAAAACTTTTGTTGTATCTATACTTTGAAGTTCATTGCAAACTATAAGTTTCATATTCTCTATTGAGGAGTTAAACTTGCCACAGATGTTTTCTAAGTTTGTCATATTCGGGTTCGAATAGCTCTCTAACAGTTTGCATAAGATATCTGTAAAGAATGTGTTCTTACCTGTTCCTTGTTTTCCAATTATGATGAGAGCAGTTTCATTTTTAGCACTTGGATGTTGTAAGATGTTTGCAAACCAACATAAGATATACTCATAGACTCTTTCGTTTCCATTGCATATAATTTCTTTGACATGGTCTAACCAAGCTTCTATAATATTTTCTTTCCATTCTACTTGTTCATATTTATATCCAGTGAAGATAGAATAGAAGTTTGGAGAAGGTGTATAGAACTTTATACCACGAACTGAAAAATCTTCAAGTTTTGACAATAAGATATCCCAAGCATCTAACATCTTCATTCCAACTTGTACAACTTTTATTTTCTTAAGTTTCTGTCTACATTCTTGTTCAGACACTATTGTTGCTCTTGGTTTGTTAAAGACAACATCCCATTCTTTCATGACATAACATTCTGGGGCAGAGTCAACATAAATGACTAAACGTTTCAAATTCTCGACTGCTTTGTTATAGTCTCTAAATGGACACATATTTCTGAATGCTTGGAAGTCATAAAAATCTGAAACATCTATTCTGTACATTTTTATAAAAATAAAAAAAAATATTTTTTTTATTCTTGACTTTGTTGTTGCATTTGTTGTTCTTGAGCTATTTGTTGTTGAAGTTGTTCTTGTAATACAATACTTTCACCAGTTGCATCTTCCAATTCGAAACTTTCTGCCGTCATTGACAAATACATAGGACATAAAAGTTTTACAGGAACAAAGTTTGCGTCAACTAATGTCAACGTTATACTTGCCAAAGTGTTTGAGTTCACTAAGGTTGAAAATTCTGCATTCGAATGAACAATAGGCAAACCAGCAGAGAAAGTATTGTTTATACGCATAAGTATCTTTTGGTCATAATAGTTTCTGTCGACATTCGAATAACACTTTGAACCTAAGTTTGAAACAATATATAAGATTGGTGTGCTTAATGTCAATGGAATAGACATTCCTTGTATGACACCTTTTCCTGTTATAGGAAACTGTTGGTAGTAAAAACCAGAAATAAGTTTTGTATTATAGCTCATATCGTTTATAGTAAACTCAGTCAGACATCCAAACATAATGAAACCTGCTCTAGTTGCAGCACATGTTACACCCGTACTTAAAGTATTAAATAAGTCAACAAAACCTGTTGGTGGTATATCTGAGTAAGTATCTTCAAAGGAGTATTTTTTACCATTCACAACAATAAAGTCTTCTGGTGTCAAAAGAGCAAAACAGGCTTTAGTCGTCATTGTGTTTAAGGTTAGTTTACAATATCGTCCTTGAGGACTTTGTAAGTTTGTTGTTATAGAATTATATGACTCAGGGTTTTTAGTCGTAATAGTATAAACCATTATGTCTTCTGCCATTTACTTAGCAAATAAACTTTAATGAAATGTTGTGGTCGTCAAATATTTTTATAACGTCTGGGAAACTATATTTTAAGTTCAACATTTCACCTCCTTTCATAACGTATATCTTGTCAATGGCATTATATGAAACACCACAGCAACTAATGTCGGGTTCTATTTCTTTGATGTTTATATCGTCTGCCTCTGTCAAAAGTTTCAATAGTTCTTTCAAAACTTCATGAGGTGTAATGACATATGAGTTCACTTTTACAGGGTTGTGTTCGACCAAGTTTAACATTATACTTAAAGCTTGACAAATCTTCTCCTGAGTTTGAAGTTTGTCTTTCAGTTGTTGGTAGTCGTTTCGAATATCTGCAACAGAACTTAAGTCTCTGCTAACTTCAGGATATGTTGGTTCTTTTACAGGAACAATTGTTATACCATCTTCGTCTTCGTATGGTTTCCCCACTTCAACATCTCTGTCTTTGACATTGACAACAACACTTTGACTGTTTGTTTGAGTTGGTGAATTTAACTTCACATCTGCCACCGCCATTAAACCTTTTGAAACACTTACGCTTCTATTTTTCGGAAATGACATTTTACTTAGAATAAAAAGATGGACGTATTTGAGTATCTCTTCGAATTGAAGCAGAACAAAGTTTACACACACAAACAATACAAGTTCATTGACAGAATAGTTCTTTACACAAACAATGGAAAATGTTATAGAATAGCAGTCTTTGCTGAACCTAAATATTTTCATAAAGCAAAGAAAGTTGGTATAACTGAAATGGTGAAAGTTCTTGAAGCAGACAAAAATATAACTTCAAAACTTACAGATATTTCTAAAGGTAAGTTTATCTTACAATATTATGTCAAAACTGGCGTACTGTCAATATTTGACGGAGAGAAGTCAGTTCAAGAACAACTTACTGACCTGCTGCCAAAATCTGCTCGATGGAAGCTGTCGTTATGCCAATCTGAGGAGCCCCAGCAGGTTTCATCGAACGAATCTTCAAAAGAGCATCTTCTGTGAAAAGTGCTATTGGTTTTGTAAACTTCTTTGCTTTCAATTCATCTGGACCGTCTCTGTCACCAGTATATTGTATTTGTACAGTACCAACAGTTGAAATACCACCCATAAAGTCTTCTGAGTCAGCAAATGGAATGCCAAGCCAAAAGTTTGAACGGTCTCCATTTGTATATTGAGTTTTTGACCTCCTGTATGAGTCCATACTTTCACATATGGCATAATAGAACTTTGCATTTCAGGGTTAATGGTTGTTGTGAAGTTGTTGTTAAAGTTCATAGCATCTAATGTCAAGTTGTATGACCTCATATCCTCAACTGTAGAATATTCTTCTCTTGGATAATATTTGCCATCTATGTTTTATATGATATTTAATACCAGGGTTGTAGAAACAAGAATAGTCATTTATAGTTCGTCTGAACAGTACAAACATAGTATCTGCATGTTTCATTGCAGTTGTTAAAGCAATATCTGTTCTTGCACCTTCTGCTCCTGGATTTTGGTTTCCAACTTCACCTGCAAAGTCTTTGACAGATATTTGGTGTATAGGGAACATAAGTGGAACTGCAATATATTTGGCAGCTAAAGCATTTGAAATATCTGGGTCCAACATATAGACTGCAAGTCTGCTTTCTATTCTCTTGCATTCAAATTTTTCGCATGTGAACTTAACTGGGTCCCAAGCATCTCCAGCAGCATTGAAATAATAGTTTACTTCAGTGTTGAGTTTGAGAAACCAAAGTCTAAGTCAACTTTGTCTTTGCAAAAGTCACAGAACTTGGCTCCACCAGTTCCAGCTACAGTAATGCTGAATGGGTCTTGTGTTGGTGCAATGACTAAGTTATTTTTGCTTGGAGTAAGTTCGATAGAAATTTTTCCTGCACAGTTTGGCAAGTATCTTAAAAACCTGAAGATGAGGAAAGATGACAAAGGAACTCTAAGTTTCAGTTTTAGTTTGGTTACTGCTGCTGCAGTTTGTCCAGAAAGGTTAACATAAACTCCTGGAACGTTAGGGTCAAGTCTTCTTATTTTCTCAATAGTTGCATACTGGTTTGTTTGTTCTCTAGCTTGTGGTTGTACTGAGTTTCTCAAAGCGAACCATTCATAGTTTGCCCATGTTACTGTTTGAACTAAGTCAGAGTTAGAATATATCTTATATCCCATGAAAACTTCTGGAGCATATTGGTATCCGACATAGAAAATTCCATTGCAACCTTTCTTGTCAGACAACTTGGCAGAAGGTTTTATTTCAATGTCTTGTTCCACGTATAAGAATGAGTTGTCAATAGAAATAATATGAAACCTGTCGCAAGCAATATCTACTGTTGTTGAAGAACCTTCTCCAAACTCACCTACGTTTCCATAAGAAACAGCAGTTGTATATTCGTAAGTTCCAGGAACTATTTCTGACCTTCTAATGGCATTGTCGCATTCGTTATACCATTCGGAAACATTTCCGTTCATGGCATCCAAAACTGTTGGCGTTATATTCTGAGCGGCATACATTTCATATGGGTAAAAATATAGAATAGTTGGATTTATATGTCATAATAGAACCCACGTGGACCAAGCTTTACTTTCTTCCTGACTGAGTTTTTAACTCTTCTTTTTCCTTCATTGCCACTACTTTCACTAGATGAAGTTACTTCTTCACTACTTTCACTTTGTTCTACTCTTCTCTTCTTCTTTGGTGTCGCTTTTGGTAACTTGCCCTCTGCTTCAAGTTGTTGCATTTTTGCCTCATGTTCACCTAGTATGTTGTAAATTTCCCATGTCCTTTTTGCCTTTGGGCTCTGGTCGCCCATCTCAGGTAACCTATATCCTAGAAAGATTTTGTCATAGTTTGTATTTGAGTCTTCGCGTATTGTTTGCATGACTCTTTCCTGAGTTTCCGGTTCAAGCTCTTCAAACAGAGCTTGTCCATATGGAATAAGCTCGTTTCCAAATATATGTTTTTGTAGCCATTCTGGTTTTCTTTCCATGTAACCAATAATATCTTTTGTGAATGGGAAAGCTTTTACCCAACGTTTCAGTCTTGCGTCATTTATTTCTGTAGTTTCCAAAGGAGGGACTTGTTCGTTTCCTTCAGGCTCTTCTAGCTGTTGTTGCTGAAACTATTTCTTCCATGTCTGGTTGTATCTGAACTTCTTCCTGTGGAGTTTCTTGTACCTCATCTGGTGGTATATAAGTTCCACAGCTGGCACATATGTTCCATCTGCAGCATAATGTCCTACCTGACTTTTCGTTTTTAAGAAAGCATTTACTAGGTCTGTTTTGGTCTGTTGTAACTCTTTTTCTTGACTTTCCACAACAGTTGCTCTAACGGCGTCATAGGCACTTTGAACTGCCTGTCTCGTTGCTGCATCTGTTATTTTCGTCATATTTTGTGCTACTTCTCTTAACTCTTTGTCGAAACCTTCAGACTTCAGTTTCTTTCCAGATGAGAAGTCGTTCACTTGTTTCACCTTACTATGAAGAGCTTCGAAGGCATTCTTAAAGTCAGCATTCATTAAAGCTTCATTTGAACTGTCTTCATCCGCTTGTATTTTTGTCCTTATTGACCCTATAAGTTGGGCTGCTTTAGCGTTGGCTTGGGCATCTAACCAGTCATTATTAGCTTTTATATATTCTGCGCTTTTCATTGCCTTTTGCATGGCTGCGTCGTTATTTTTACTTTCTTGTGCTAAGTTTTCATACTGTACGGTTTGGTTTTGCAACTGTAAAAGTTTTTCTGCCTTTACATTTGCTTCAACTTCTTTTTTATACTCATCGCTATCCATATATGTCTTCAGGGCTTTTTGTTTTATCTCTTCATCTTTCAGTACTTTATATTGAGTAGTATGGTTTTTCAAATTTATAACATCTTGTTCCATTTTTGCTACTTCTGCTGCTTTTTCTGACACTTTTTTCGCATATTCCTCTGTACTTAGTTCTTTCAGTTGTTCTTCTTTCTTCTTTTTCTCTACGTTTAACTCATTGAGTTTCTTTGTGTGTCTGTCATATTCTAGTTTCTTTTCGTTTTCACCTATTTGCTTCTGTATGTCTATGTTTGACTTTTTGACATCTGCTATTTGATTTTTGAGTGAACTCAAATTCATTTGACTTTGAGGGTTATAAGCTGTTCCGTCTGCAGCTCCACCATAGCCTGCCATTTTCGCTAAAAGTGCCGCTCTTAAACCTCCACTCTGTGCACCAATAACTCGGTTTAAAAGCATAGGGTTGCTTGACATTTGTTGCAACATAGTGGGGTCATTCATCATTTGTTGTTGCAACTGTTGTTGTGGTGTCAGTTTTACTATTGGATGTTTCAATGCTCCCTTCCTCTTACGTATATTCTTACGTAGCTTACGTGGCATTTTAAGTGAAGTTAAAAAGCGGTTTTTGACAGATGTTTATATGACACTTTTTGTTCAGCACAAAAAACTACTCGGTCAAAGTGTTGTCAGTTTTGTAAAATAACCGTCCTATCTCATTCTATAAGGGGAAAAGGCTTCTCAAAGTATACTTCTTTGGAACGCCTGTAACTTTTCCTGTAGCGACGATAGACCCTTACTTGTCCGGACAAAGTTATACTATTTTGAGTGCTCTACAAAAAAGTCAACGGCTGGTCGGCTGGGGTTCGGTCCTCCTCTTGGGCAAAATTTCTTATGGGCTAGAGGGCGCAACGCGCCTGGAAGCCCTCCAAATATAAACTTCATTTATACTAAACATCTTCAGGGCTAGAGGGCGCAACGCGCCTGGAGGCCCCACTACCTTTTTTTTTAATACTTTGGGTTTTCATATCTATATACTTCTTCCAATGAACTAATTTCCAAACAAAGCTCTTGAAAAATCTTTAAATATAAGATGACTTTTGCTTATATTTTTTGATTTCTCGATAGCAATGCTAGGATATTACAATATTTCCATGTATTTTACTAGGTTGTAACTAGTTGGCATAAGAGTACATATATAGAATCGCTCCGACTATATAATATAATGTTTATTTAATATTACTGTTTATTTTACAGCTAAAGCTTAAACTTATAGTGTATTTATTTTTTAACTGTCTGAATAATGGCAGATTATTTTAATATTTAACATTGATATTGAAATATGAAATAATGCATTTTTCCTTTTTAGCTAGAACACTTGTTTGGGCAATATTTTTCTTTTTTAAACACCAAAATCACATATTTCTCTTATATATATATCTATTTTTAAATTATTTTGTTGATATTTTGACAATTTGAGTTAAATATCGATTTAATTCTATTTTTATGGGTAAAATATATATGTATATATCATATTTCATTATTGGTTTGTTAATGCAATTCAATTCTTGGATCCTTGAGTTTTCATTTGAAAGTTCAACTACAAATAAACCTTTCACTGAATATAGGTACTAAAATTTCATTCTAGAATAGCCATTCTTATGGTTTTATCAATATAAAACAACATTATATTTTTTATATATTCTACTTGCTAATTACTTTTCTAGTTTCAAGATAAAGTTACTTAATCTCCGATAAGATGCATGAGATGTGAATTGGAGATATCGAGCATGCATATTTCCGAATATACTACTATATTATGTACTATTGTGGAAAGAAATTAAACTTTGTAAACTGAATGAATTTCATATAATGGTTGTCTGGCAGCTATGATGTCTCTTTTCGTATTTATTCTCATCTCAGTAAAAAAATTTACATTCTCCACGTTTGAGGCGGTTGAGGTTGGTTATTGTTTACCCACTGTTGTGCATGGTTATATCCTCTGTTAAAGAATCTTTCACCTTGGTCCATATAGTGTCCTGCTTGGTTATAGTAGTCATTTGCTTTGTTATAGTAGTTTCCTGCTTGTCTTCCTACATTGTCCATCCATCCTTGAACTTTTCCTCTTGTTTCAGGATTTGGAATAAGATTTGCTGCATCTCGTGCTACCTCCCAACCTTTCTGTACAGTTTGTATAATAGGTTGTGCTTTCTCTTTCAGTATACCTAAAGTACTCAAAATCTTCCTTCCAATTCCAAATGCACCTCTGGCTAGTGTTCCCACTGCGGGCAAAAATCTAGATGCGACTCCTGCTAATGCGCCAAATAAACCCATTTCTTATGGGTTAAAAATGACGAATTCAAACAAGGACCCGTATGTTTCTAAAGCAACAAAGAAAGCACTCATGGTAAAAATCTTTAGTTCAACACCAAATGCTTGGTTTATGGATATCTTGGAAAACATTCCGAGGTATAGAGAAGATGGACCACCATACTGGCTAATATTTGTCGGTCAAAACACAAGATACTGTGAAGCCATACCATTATGGTCCAAAAATATTTTAGATGTGAAAACTGCTTTGACAATATTTGTTGACAAATACCATCCAACAAAACTGACATCTGACTGTGAAAGTTCTTTCAAATCAGACGATATTAAAAACTATCTGCGTTCAAAAAATGTAAACCAATATTTCATTGTCGACCAAAACCATTCTGCTCTTGGTGTCATTGACAGTTGTATAAAAATCTTAAGAGACTTAAATCAACCACAAGGTGGTGAAGCAAATGAAATGTCATATGACGACAAATATAGACACTTCTCCATGGCAAAGATGAGACAAGTTTTAAATATTTACAATAGCCGTAAACAAAAAGGTTTGGGAAACCACTCCCCCGAAGAAATGAAAAACAACCCTGACTTAGAGAAAGACTATATATTTAATAGTTTAGTCAAAAGAGACAAACAAGAAAGAATGCCAGGCTTCAAACTTAAGAAAGGTGACAAAGTAAAAATAGAAATACCCAAACGCGACCCATATGAAAATACTATTGACTATGACAACAATGGGAACTCGACAGGTACTCGCATTCGTGTTCGTAAAAATAGAAGAAAGTATACAAGAGAATATTATGAAGTTTTAGGCAAACATGGCAAAATGTACACACTGCAAGCAGAAGATAAAACTACTATTGTCAGACCTCGTTTCAAACTTGTCAAAGTTCAAGGTGGTATACTTTCAAAGACAGTTCCTAACAAATATAAGACAACTCCTGACGAATATGCTAAAGAAGTTGAAAATGACGACTAAGCATTTCTATACCATGCGTAAACTGTCATGTAAGGTGGCATGTAGTCTTTACTTTGTCCCGTTGTTTGCGTATACCCTGAAACGCGATGTATATGGTTTCCTCCTCCCTCAGTGTTACTCCAGTAACAATCTATAGCAAACTTAACGTTGTTTTTAACATCATATCCTTTACCTTTTGTCATTGATGACCAATCCCAATATCTATGACTATGCCAACCTGCGTTAGTTGTACTTAAATCTATGTAGTGACTGTGCGCAGGTAAATTTGCACCTGAAATCGTTTTACTTCCACCTGTTTCCTTTGAAGAGTTTGCACAATACAAAACCTGTCGACTATTTGAGTCCAAGTTCCGAGACCAAGTACTACTTCTTGGTCTGGTAGAGTTCATTGACGTATTAAATAGAACCTATAGGATATAGTGTTTGAAGTATTTCTGTCTTTAACGTTTTGAAGCTCTGTTTTGTCAGCTTTTTTATCATATAAATCTTGAGCAGTGAATTTAACTTTGTTTTCATCCTCCATGACATAGACATTTCTACATTTAATGTCTTTATCCGATGTTAAACCTTCTGGAAAGTTAGGAGGTTTAAAATATAATCCACCCCCACCAGTTTTTTCAATTGTTCCTAAAATACTTTCTATACCAACAGTTGAGAAGAAGTTATGTGTATGTCCAACGTCACTTTTACTGTTTAAGGTTTCTTGTAAGTTTGTAATATTTGCAATGGTATGTGTATGGTTCTTGTCAGCTTTGCCATCTAACTTTTCTTGTAAGTTTGTAATATTTGCAATGGTATGTGTATGGTTCTTATCCGCTTTAAGGTCTAAACATCCTGAAACCCACCCTGTATTGGCTTTACCTTCTAAAATCTTCGATGTCCGTTCATGGTACCATTCAACCCTTTTTATAATTTCATTGTCTTTTTCATCCACATATTCCTTATCTGCCTTCTTCACTAACCCACTAGCCAGATATGCTAACTCATCGTCAACATACTCTTTGTCAGCTTTCTTTTCAACATCCTCTTTTGTTGCATATGTTGCATCTGCTCTGTCATGTTCTTCTTGAACTTTTTCAATGACATACTCTTTGTCAGCTTTGTTGTCAATATCTGCTTTCAAAAGAAGTTCTTTTATAGGCTTCTCGTTTAAAGTTCCTTTTGTTGGATTTACACAGACAGTATGGTTCTTACTGTCTTGAAACAGAAACTCATCTGTCATTGGGTTTAATGTCAGTTTTAAGTTTCCTTCTTTCAATGACTCAGATATCTTAGAATAGTTTGAAAAGTTTGTTGTGTTCTTATTTAGAGCTTGCAAAATGAGTTGTCGGTTGTGTTGTATTTCTCTCATAGACGCTGTTTCTTTCGACATTTTTATTCTAGATAAAATATGCTTTCAATAGAAAAAGAAAATTCAAGAGTTGCTACAACTAAACCATTAGATGAACTTTTTACGAATGTCGGTCAAAAGTTTGAGACAGAGACCGTAAAACATGAAGGCTATCGTTTTGACTACCCTTAAGATGGTTAAGAGACCCATCCGTCACAAAAGCTGTTGGCTTTCGTAGAATGAAGTTCATTTCAGAAGCCATACATGGTTTCCCATTTACGGTCGCTTTTGAAATTCGATACTATAACAAAGAAAAACATACGTATGAGAAATTTGAACAGGGAAAACTTTTACAAGTGAATTTGCTTGTAAACTTAGAAACAACTCTTCAAGCTTTTCAAGAAAAAATAAACGATATCTATCTCGAATATGCAAAACAGTACAACATTGACGAAGGAGAGTACCATCTCGATATTATATATGACAGGAAAAATGCAACTGTTTAAAATCAATAGAATAGAAGACCTTGGAGAAGACGTTTATATTTCTACAAAATATAACAACTTGGCATGGTATAGATTTTTGAGGATGTTAAATCAGCCTGCAGAATATCCAGTACACCCGAACTTTTATGAAGTCGAAAACCCTAATGGAACATATGAAAATGTTTCGACTCAGATGCTATTATAGTTCATGCTTCATTTTCTGGTGCACAAAACTCTTTTTTATGCTTGGCAAATGACTTTTACGAAAAACCTACAAAGCTATATGAACCACCGAGTGGAAGTATTTCAGACTTTCAAGTATGGTTTACAACAGATGGAAGAAAGAGAATAGTTCCATATATACCATGCGTTTTACTTAGAACTTAGCTTCATATACAACTACTATCGAAAGGTAAAAATATAATTTTAATACGGTTGAGGTGTTGGATTTGGTTGCCAACTAGACTGTGGTGCAGGTTCAGGCTGTTGTATAACAGGAGCTTGTTCTTCTGGTTCAGGGTCTTTAGGTATAATACCAACGAACTGACCTACTCTTTTACCAATATTTTTGACTCCGTTCCAAATTCCTCTTCCTACGGTTTTTATTCCATTCCATATACCTCTTCCAACATTTCGAAAGAAGTTTCCTATTCTTCCAAAGAAACCCATTTTACTATATGTAAAAATCTAATGTCCACCTAGTCTCTTACGTTTCCTGTTGAGTTCCATAGCATTTTTTAACTGGAGCTCATACATTCTATTTCTCCTCTGGTAGAAAACATTACTCTGGGTCAACTCCTGTGTTCGCGTCATCTGCATAGAGTTGTTTATATCCCACTTCAGGGTTTGTATAAAACTCTTTCCATCTCATATTTGCATACCATGGTGGCAAACCTAACGCAGCGTCATTTGACATGGCAGTTTGCATTTGTACATCTGTTGGCACTTGACCATAGTTTGCCATTGCAGTTTGTATTCTAACTTCATTTGGAATATTCTCTGGGTTTGGTTGTCCAGGTTGCTGTGCATTCGCCTAAGTTCTGTGCGTCCATTTAATATTAGATAAAAATATCTCTTACGAGTACATATGCTGAACATTTGCAGACATTGGTTCATCTTCATATTCTCTATATCTTTCTGCCACGTCAAATAAGTAAATGACACAATGGAAAAAACCTAAAACAAGTAGTCCTATTTCAAACCACATTTACTTACCAATAAAATTTCTTTGTTATGACACTTTCTCCAGTTTATAGGACCTCTCTCATATTCTATCTTGTCATATCTATACTCATAGTCATGTATGTCCTCTAACCATCTCATGACACTTTTCCAAACCACTTTTATCGGATGTAAAGTAAAAGCATGGATGGTTATGTAAAACGTCTAAAGTTTCTAAAGAGTCTCTCAAAGTCCAGTCTACTTGGTATTGAAAATCCCATGTGTTATAGAACGGCGGGTCTACTATAAAGAAAACATTTTCCTTGTTTTTATATTTTTCATACAACTCTGTCCAACGACATCTCACAAACTCTATACCCTCAGTATATTTTTCTATGTTCTCTTTGAAAACCTTTGTATAGTTAAGATATAAAACTTTTGACATAAGTGTTTCAATGTCATGAACTCTTATAGAACCACTATATAATAGTCTAGAAGATATACTATCCCAGTCAATATACTCTGCTTTTTTCAAAACCTCTCTGACAGTATTTTTCTTATCTAATGGTATACGTTCCATCTTGCCTATAGGTATCTTTTCTTTTAACTCTTTCAATATTTTGTTTGTGTCTGGTATATGTTTGAGACGGTTCATATAGTTGTCGAAGTCATTGCATATAATCTTTGAGTCAGGAAATACAGTATGGCACAAATGAGATATATAGAAACTTCCACCGAACAAATCTACAAATGTTAGACCATTCGGTAGTTTCTTAAGTTCTCTCAATAGAATATCTTTACATCTACTCTTATTTCCAAAGAAGGGTAACGGTGGTTTTGTAAAATTCATTTTATATATATAATAAAAATGTTTTTTCCTGAAAAGTGACAGAAAAGTGACAAAACATCTTCGGGGCTAGAGGGCACGAAGTGCCTGGAAGCCCCAGTCCTTTTTTTTTTTTTTTTTTTTAATTGTAATACTAATTTTAATTGTTGCTGATCATATGCTAAATGTTATATGAAATCCTTAATTAGAAACTTGAGTTGAATATATATTATATGAAACAATCGGTGTTTAAAACAAAATACAGCTTGATTTATATAGTAATTTATGCTTTACATGTATTTTATATAAATTTTTATTGAATTCAAATATTCAATAGTTTTTTTATGCTAGATTAGTTGTATTTATTTAAATATATTATATTGGCAACCTTTCTTTCCCCTGTCCTAATAAACGCATTTTGTAAAAAAAATATAGTGCATCAGTTTCGAACTAGCGTCCCCGGTACCCAATAGTAAGGGGTAATAACCATTCGACCATTTGCCACGTAAAGCATCGCCAGATTTTTTTGTATTTAATCACTCCCAAAACACTGTTTTGGCTTATTGGAAGCATATCAGACATAATCGCCATAATCAAAAATTCTATATACCCAATAAGTAATAAATTTGTCGATATAGATTTTCCATAAAATTAGTTTTTAGTCTGATCTTAAAATAAATTTAATTTTTTATAAAACAAATCACATTTAAAAGTACCTTTTTAGTAGCTCGAAATCCTGTTGGTGGATTTCGGGCGTACTTCAAAATTAGCTTTTCTTCTACATATGCAAGCTATATTTTAAATATGGGGCAAATCGGATCGGCGAAAGGAGTTTAGTTACCTTTATTTTATTCGAAACTTTTTCACAATAACAAATTATTTCCATCAGTAGCCATAGTATCTTAATTTTGACTGATAATGGTATAACAAAGAGCACGAATCCACGAAAAATTGAACTAAAATTGAAATCTAAAGAAGAGTAAAAAGATTTGCGTATATAATAATGGATAAGTTAGATGAAAGCCGATGTTTTTTCAATTAAATTTTAAAAATCATTCAAAATAATAATATTTTGAAAAAATAATAAAGTCAATTATTTACTTTTGTACGAAAATGGACTGAGTTTCATCAAATGGGAATAAAAATCCCTTAATTTGGAATTTAAAGCCTAAGTTGAGAGAAAATAATCTAAAAACTGTGTGTTAGTTGTAAAGATAAAGTTTGGGTCTGACGAGCTAAGTTTTCCTCATTCTTCAGTGAGGTTCTCAGATGTCTTCAGTCCCGATTATTGTGGATACATACTTTATTTCACTTTATTTGTTTCTGGCTGGCCAAAACCGAAATAATCGGTAAAATTGACTTCATTTTATTGGAATTCTACGAAATATATCAATTTTGGATAATAACAATGTATTTACTCTATAAAAAAATAACAAACAAAAAGAAATTGAAATTAATAGAATCATTGAATAATTTCTGGAACTGAGAGTAGAGTGTAACGCATATCTCTAGCACGCATGTAGTGCTGTGCAATTCTTCCGATTAAAACAAAAGTGATAAACAAAATAATGAGGAAGGCTATGAAAATAACAATAATTGCAGGTGTAATCTCGAAGTTTATTGTCGGTGGAATATAAATGCATAAGCCATCCATAACAGAATTATAAGAATTCATGACTGGATTTTGATTTTGAGAAAATTCAAGCAATTCCAAGGGACCTTGATCAAGATCTTTAATAATCGGTGCATCGGCAATAAAATATGACATGATAATTGATGAACCTTTTGAAGTTATTGCGAAAGTAAGTTTTGTTCCGCATTGTTTGAAAATATGGGATTTTAATGTAACTACTGCCGATGTTTTATAACTTCCAATATATCTAAACCCTCCTGTGCAATTAAATAAGTTCCAATATTGAACTTGTGCTGTAATATTTGGATTATTGAATGCAATTTCGTAGATATAGCCATGCCTATCAGTGTTCAATGAATCCATGTTAATGTACTCGTATTTTATAAATGATTCGCCAATTCTGGATTTAATTCCTGGAGTTCTTTGAGTATTGCACTTTGAAATGTTGATATATGATGTATTGGCCATACAATTGTGTTCTATCGTAGAAGACTGCGTTTTGTAGAAAGTGGAAGGACAATCAACGCATTCAATGTTTTCAATGAAGGCATTTGACATGGATGATTTCAGAAATATCGCGTGGCCACTCGCTACTGATGAGCATTGAACAAAACAAGACTTTTCAAAGGTGAGTTGTGCTCTGCCTTCGCAAAAGGAAATGGCACCGCCATTGCCAAGTCTATGTATGCTAGAACAGTCAAAGAACATGCATTCACTAACTGTGAGTGATCCTTTGAGGCCGTAAGCGAAAATTCCGCCACCTCCATATCTTTCGTTAGTAATGCATTGAACAAATCTACATTTTTGAATAGTAATATGAGAATTGCCGTTTAAACTTAAAGGTTGCGAGAATTTTTTCTTTGAATACGATTTTGAAGAAAAACTATCGAGTTTAATAGGGGAATTCAGTATTTTTTGGAATTGTATCTTATCAAATAATGTATTTTGGTTTTGTTCGTGTGAGAAATATATTGAATTAATGTGATTTTTAAAAATAGAATTGGAAAAAATGTTAAATTTCGTTAAAGTGGAATGGGAATTGACCATTAGAGGACTATTACTTAATGAAGAAACAGTTAATCTTTGAATGGTCAGATTCATTTATATATGAAATCAAAAAATCTTCGAAATTGTCACTTTTTAATCAAAGTTTATTCTCTTCGATATCCACGATTTAATTCAGACCATAAGGAAAACTTGTTATGACAAAAACAAATGAAATACTGAATGCTACCATTTTACATATGTAATGTTCAGCTTCATCATAAAATTTATAATATCATCCAAAAAAATAACAGGATGTTATGAGAACCTCAAGTCAGAATAGATATACTTACTCTTTGCTTATCAAAATAATACCAAAAAATAAACAGATTTTCATATTTTTACTAAGAAATATAGATCTTATACTTGATTTGTAGATAAATCACTGGGTTTTGTAAGAACTCGACTGAAATTAAGTTAATGAGTTAGAGTTAAAAAGATGTACTGAGTTAATTGAATAAAATTTTACTTGAAAAACAAAAACGGCAGGATTCTATATAAGGAAAGATATTCACATAACATAATGAAGAGAATCGTATAAATGTATAAAAGAAATTTGCATTAAAAATTCAAAATAAATAGAAAGTACTGAATGGAGTTGAAGATAATGGTTCTCTGGAGTCAATATGGATCACAGGGACTGAAATTTGGAATACTGTTTTCCAAAAAAATTCGAAAAACAAGAAATAATAGAGAAGGAATAAGAAAATAAAAGCGAAAAAGAGAAAAATGAAAAAAAGTTGGAAAAAATTTTTTTAATTGGAAGAAAAAAGAAAATTGAAGGTCAAAAAATAAGTTTAAAGACTTTTAAAATCGAGGATTTTATTTAATAATAGATCATATTGTGAAATAGCATATGGAATAGCAAAAATACAAAATCATTGAAAATATTTCGGAGTGTTATAGACCGAAAATAGATTTTTTCGGTTTTCTCTTCAAATAATTGAAAGAATGATACTATTATAGGTTTATTATATTATATAGCATATAATCATGCTATAGCCGAAAATTATAAGTTTTGAGAAGATTGAATATCACACAAATAAATTTGAATGTATGTTAAATTGCTTGTTGTTTTTAATAGCTATTTACTGCGAAATCCAATATTGCAAAATTCAAATTGAATGATTGAAAGAACAGAAAAAGTCATTCTTTTCAATTTCGAATATGTTTCATTGTATTTATAATTATATGGCAAATACGATATTTAAACTTGATTTTTGAAGGAAAATTCACAAAATTGAATAAATTCAAATAATTTTTATTCAAAAATAAACTAGTTATTTGAGTTTACTACTAATTATCTATTCAAACTACAAAGTTTGTAATTTAAAATATTTTGTGAGATCAGATTGAATTAATTCAAGGTTCTTTTCAATTAATATTAATGACCATATTACGCATTTTCGAACATTCTAAACAAATATATAAAAATGGGAGACGAATGTTAAATTTGCTAGACATGGGGGAGTTGTCTGCAAAGTTTTAGCTCTTATCTCTAACAAAAAATTACTTTTTAAAAAAATGACCGAATACGTTTCACAGCGAGAAAAAAATAAAAGGCAAGATAGAATTTTCTAGACATAAAGAAGTTGTTTACCGAGTTTTAGCTCTTATCTCTAACAAAAAATTACTTTTTAAAAAAAAGACCGAATACGTTTCACAGCGAGAAAAAAAATAAAAGGCAAGATAGAATTTTCTAGACATAAAGAAGTTGTTTACCGAGTTTTAGCTCTTATCTCTAACAAAAAATTACTTTTTAAAAAAAAGACCGAATACGTTTCACAGCGAGAAAAAAATAAAAGGCAAGATAGAATTTTCTAGACATAAAGAAGTTGTCTACCAAGTGTCAGCTGTTACTTCTTCTCAATACTGATATAAAATAAAAATCTTTATTATTTATTTAACCTTTATTGTTTCATTAAACTTCATTTATTTTATATTATAGTTTTATTCTTTTAGCTACTTGTAAAATAATCTAATTTTATATCATCATTTTACCAGATTATTCTTCAGTACATCGATTGTGTATCTAAAATAATATCATTATCCTTATTCTGTTTTTTCCAAAATTCTTTTAAATATCTTTTTTGGTTAGATTACTTTATACTTTTTACTTTTATTTTTTAATTTCAAAAAAAATTTGGTGATTGTTCTATTCTTTACAATGTGCATTATCATATTCTAATGAATTATTCATTACATACATTTAAAAAAACTTGTTAAAAATGAAATTAAAAAATTATGTTTATTATTACGCTGTGAATGTGTCAACAGCGGTCATGCCTGTATCTGTATCCCATATTTGCCACAACCTTTCTGTATCTGCATTTGTGTATTTCGGTTTCAGCTGATACATTTGATTTGGCGTGTAATTTGTTCCAGTTAATGGATTAATTGGGAGATCTTCATGCGGTGTGTTATTATTGTACTCCCAAATAAAGGCAGGAATAGCCTGAATGCTTTGGCAGCGCTCCAATGTCGGCCAGAATCTCTCAATCTTCCCATTTTGGTAGTGAGAATGAGAGTCTGTATGCCGCCATTGGACGCCCCAAAGATCAAGTAGATCTTGAAAGGCGCCCCTATTTTCTGAACCGTTGTCGGTCCAGAAACAATAAGGGGCGCCAAATTCAATGAAGGCGGAAGCCGCAACGTTCGCTGTCGTCGCTGCCAGCATATCTTGTATTTGTATACACGCTAGGACTTTGCGGCTAAAATCGTCGATTATGCCATAAATATACTGGCCACGAAGACCCCTAAAATAATGAACATCTGCGTGCCAGATAAGATTGGGTGAAAGCGCAGTTAGTATACAAGTCTTGGGTATGGTGGCACTGCGTTCCACCTTACCCAATACTTGTGAATTTGACACTTTACAAAACCGTTAACGTATATTTTACAACACAAACGACAACACAAACGACAACACTAACTTAACCTTAAATATTTACAAAACCACCAACCACTTCACTAACGAACTCACTAATGTAAAAAATAAACGTTCTCACTATCATTCTCACTAACGACTTCACTAATGTTCTCATAAATTTTCCTCAATATCTTCATCATCAGTGTTAACCCTATTGTAGTCATACTTGAAGCCATAAACTTTCTCTAACTTCTTAACGTACAATTTACATAACTTACCTTCGTCATCGTATGGTTTAATGATATAACTATTTCTATCTTTATACACAGTCAATGAAAAGTCAACTGGTCTCGGATGTATTTGAAAGAACATGTTATGCTCAGGAAGGAAGAATAAATGTTTAAATGTATGTTTGTTATACTGTGGAATTCGAATGAGTTGCTTTTGTTCTGTCATTTATATAAAAATAAAATAAAAATAAACTTAAAAATAAACTTAAAATTAATGATATCACCACCCTCACACGTATGAAAACATAGCACAAAAATAAATTTAGGTGAAGTGGTGAGATCTCACCTCTTTTTTCACCTGTTTTTTCACCCACTTGAATTCATTACTTTATAACTCTCTTCCTTGGTTTCTTTTTAGTTGCTTTCTTCACGTCTGTCTCCAACTTGACTGTCTTTCTTCTTCGTCCGTAATGATACCAATTACTTCCACCAGTCAATGGGTCAAATGGTCTTTCGTAAGGGTTTCCATACATTCCATAGGGACCATACGGAAGAACTGCTGGTGGAGAAGAAACATTTTCTTTAGTTCCATCGACTCTATTTAAATGCATTGTTTCACCTTTCATCTGGTCATTAAAGTCTTTTGCGTGTTTTGCAAACTCATCGTCCTTTCCTAAAGCATTTTCTGACTCAGTCGCAACCAAATTGGATGCTTTATTTATGAGCCCTATTTTATTTAATCTTAACTTCTTTGCAACCCAGCCTCCAATCTTTCCTTTATTTGCATCTAATGTCTTCGAAACCCTTCCTCCACTCATTTTATTTACTGCGTCATAAGCTCCAAGTGTTTGCTCCAAATGCTAATGCTTTGTTCCCATTGCGCCTAAAGCTGCCCAAGCTACCATTTACACCATATTAAAATCATCTCTCTTCAATATTATCTCATAAAAGTTCTCGTTACTGGAGAAAGTCAATGAAACATAAACGTTCTCACGGGCTTCGCCCTCACCACTTTGCGGTCTATCTAACTTATTTCTTATATCATCTATACGCTTCAAAAATGTCTGAACAATTGCTAACATCTTCTACAACAGTTATTTCATCATGAATGACCTTCAAGAACAAGCTCATTTAATATGCTATTAAAATCATCTCAATAATGAGTCCATCCTTTCCATCTTTAGGTAGCACAACATCTTTCATTGAAGAAGGTTCGACAAGTCTTATGTTAAACTTACTGACAAAGTTTGTTATACTATAATGCTTCGCGGCGAATACATGTAGTTTGAAAGACATAATATAGATTCTTCAGCAAATTCACTTATACTGGATTTATATAACAATGTTCTCACGAGACCAAACGCCACCAATTGACAATCTTGTAAGCAATCCTGCTGAGCCTTCAACTGTAAACGTCGATGGTAACATTCCACGAAGGTCATCTATTGACATCTTTGAGTCACTGTATTTAAATATTTTCTTAAAGCAATCGTCATTATCTAACCATGCAATAGCTTTGAAGTTTTCATTCGAATATACATCTGCATCATTAAATGTAAAACCTGACTTCTTTGCAGAGATGACTTTAAAATCTATTGAGTTTGTTTCAAAATTATATGCTATGGTAACTTCTGAAGGTAATGGATGCCCTTCCGCAGTCAGTTGTTCTCTCACTACCGTTTGAAGCTTTGTATTAAAAACTTTCATGTCATCTCCTGTATCTAAGTTCACATACACAGCAACAGGGAAACTATTCTTGCTTCTTTGTTTCATCATTATATCTCAAAACATTAAAGTTCTTCAATAATATTGTTCTTCCTGCTGGAATACTTCGAACCTGTCTGATTTCAATAGCTTCTCACCTCCTACATACTCTACCCAGTGTCTTGGATATTCATAAGTAT